AGTTAAATTAACCCAATACTATTGCTGCTTAAACTAGTACTCTATTTTTTTAACAAGCAAAGGGGCTAAACGTCTAAATTTAAATCAATACATTTCTAAAATAGACAAATACATGTCGCATCATGTATGTTGTAGTCATGGTTTGACCTTTTATGGAGGAGCATCAAGCCATTGCAAATTTCTGAGTTTTTGGGAAGGTAGAATGTACCAAACTTGCTACAAAATTGACCTCCCGATGAACGGACGGTAACGAGTGAAATAATGAACAATCATAGTTTACAAGATGAGCCCAAATTATGCAACTTATTAATTTCAGTCTAACACCAGAGCATCTCTTACGTACACACTAATTTAAGGTGATTTTCATCGTGGTCTTCTATTAATGAAAAACCGGAATATATAATATACCTCGCGTTTGAATCCATTATTTTTGAATTGAATAATTCTTTTTCATAAAATGTAGAACAACTTTGCAGGAACTAAGGCCCTGTTTGATAAACCAATTAAGTACTTAAACTTATTAATTAAGTACTTAATTGATTACCATTGTTTGATAACACAATATCATAACAACTTAATTGATTAAGAATTTAATGTATTAAGGACTTAAATTTTAAGTGCGTTTAATAACTGAAAGTAGGATGTCTTAATAACTTAAGTGGATCTGAAATAATAGTACAAATATGAGCCTAAAAATAAGTGATAGGCCTATCACTTATGTTTGAACTAAATTCTTGAGACGATTTTTTTCTATTTATTTATTTTTATGTTTACACATTTGATATTTTATCTTGAAATGTTTTAATATATTTTTATTAATCATGATGTCTAGTTTTAAATTAAAATTTATATAAATTATTTTTTATTTTTAATAAATATTTATTTTTATATAAAAATTAAAATCCATTAAATGCCATGACAATATATATTTACCATAAAATATGAATTCTTTTTGACAATGATAACATATGACATTATTATTAACTGAAAAAATAATAACATAATAAAATTTAAATACTTTTATTATATTATTTAATAATATTATTATTATTTTTATTATCATAGTTTCATATACAACAACTATTTTTTTAGATAGAATTATAAATCGAAATAATTTAAATTTCAGTGTTCATACTTCAGATTTCAGACATTTTATTTAGTGTTTAGATTTTGGTTTTTATCAAACACAACAAACTTAATCAGTTCAGTACTTATGATTCAATATTCAGATTTCAGACTTCAGACCCAAATTAAGTTTTATCAAACGGACCCTAAGGCTCTGTTTGTTTGTTTTTTTACTATGTTCTTATCTATATAAGTTTTAATTTTCATCACTATAGTATATGGTACCTTTCACATTATTCTGAAATCTTCATAGTTCTAGAGCACCGTGTGTAAACTAAGATCTAGAAAATCCCAATCTACAAATCCCAATTTCGGCACTTAAAAAACTAAAAATATTGATTTGTTGAAGCATCCGACTCGAATCTCGACCTTTTAAAATTACTACTGCCATTTCGTTCGCACCACTTAAATCTCTGTTCACATCAACCATTTTTTTTTCTTTTTATCAAACACCCAACCTTGGTTGTTAATTAGATTTCCACATCGATTAATTCGACACCGAGGTTTGAGTTTATCAAAACAATCTCCTCCTAAACTTGATATACTTCTGTCCCAAAAAATAGATCACATTTAATTTTAAAATTCGTACTGATTTAGTACAAATTTAGAAATTTAATGTGGACTATTTTTCTGGAATGGAGGAAAAATAGTTATCGTGCATGATCCACAACAATTTCCTCACTAACCTCTAATTTTATTTTCTGCCAACGGTGATTATCATGCCTTCTGCCAAAATATTGTTCCTGTACTTAGACTTCTAGCTTTGGATCAAATCTCAAAACCTTCTTTATTTACGAATCAAATAGGTCTTCAATTGGCATAGGTTTTTCTCCAGCGAATTAACGTGATTTGGAATGGCAAATGATTTATATCTGCGACCGGTACATTAATAATTTTTACAAAGCGATGATTAATTAATCGCATTATGATACATAATGGACTTACTACTCATACGTGTCTAAATGATTTATGGCTAGTACTGTATTAATAGCATCGTTACTATTACTATCTGGTCAACGAGGGGAAGTCCAGTTGAGCTTTTCGGTATAGTGTCGGAAGTTAGTGAGACCGATGCATAAGATGCGGTTGTTATCTTACTACATTATTAAACAAATGTAACAGTTATTTTTATATTTGTACTCCCAAAAAGATGTAAGAGTTGAATGATCTTAAGCCAACCATAGTGTCCAGGATCTCCGGACACATACTGTGTAAACATTGCCGTTGACCAATCCGATTAAGAACAAACTAGGGATACAAACAAATCATCAATTTTTAGCCCTACCAATAGCTCATCAACTTTGTCTTCTGTTTTCTTTTTTCTAGTCTTGTGACCTACTAGTTGTTCTTATTGTCCTCCTTTTTTAATTCCCAAAATAGTGTTAAAATTATATCAAATCGGAACAGATGATCCGAGTTCCCATTGTTCTGTATTTTTCTGCACAGATTAGTTCTCATGTTGGATGTGGCTTACTTGTCAATTTTTTTTCTCTGTTAAACAAGACATTATGAAATATGCACTTTCACACTAGAATTATCATTCATTGGCTAGTGTTTTAATTAACTTCTTTTAATTAATTAGAGTTTCTTAGAGTGCTTATTAGTATATAATGTACGATTTATATGAATCGCTTTTAGCTCTCCGTTAATTTTTGTATTTTCTTAGGAAGCATTTCCATTGAAATATGGTATGGAGCTCAGCTCCAGTAACAATTTTCTAAATCGTTAAATAGAGAAAAAGATTTTCTTATCCAATCGCAACGTTCCTTTAATAGATGAGGGGGACATCAGGCATTTCGTGGTAGGTTGTAAACGTTCCTGAGGATGCCACTTTTGTAAACTTATCTATCACCACATTAGTTTCTGGGCAAATGCAAGAACAATGTCATAATGCTCCTTTCTTAAAATTAATGGTGGATATACTTTCGCCGTAATTCATTTTGCCGTAATTCATTCTTAAAAAAACAATGTCAGAACGTTTATCTTTCGCCGTAATTCATTTTTCATTTTTTAAAAAATAAATAAAGAGTGTAAGCCCTAGTCAATGGAATTAAAACTTGGCAGAATTGTTGATCATGTTAAAAAAAGAAGGGGGGAACTGTACAAAAGTTACCGCATCAAAAGATTGAAATGTTGAAAACGTTCGTTATAGGGGTGAAAAAAAAAAAAGAAAAGTGAAAAGATGGAGAGGCACATGGATTTGACCACCAATTTACGGTTCTTATGACCATTGATCCTTTTATGGCATGGAGTAATTGATTACCATTAAAGATGATGCATGTTAGGAATTCACTTGGACCATAGAACAATAATGCATGAATGAAAATTGATTGTGGAATTTAATCATTTTGGTATTAAAGAACAGCCAACAATATTTTACTACTGCTGCTACTATATCTTCAAAGCTAGCTCCAGCCTACACCCACCATCTAAAAATTAACTCACAACAGTATGTTAGGTTTAAAATTTAAAGGAGCCAGCTTCATCATTTTGAAATAAATGAAAGGCCTAAAGTTTGATTGAGCAATTTTAAATGACAGAAGGAAAAATGATATGTGTTCTTTTCTTGGTTTATTCAATTCCCTTTTAGAAACGATAGTGAAGTTTTATCGGCGGCTGTCACCATTCGTGAAGTTGTAAAATGAATTTTAATTCACACTAATTAAGATAGCGAAAAGTTTAGTAAAAAAATTAATCACAAGTTTAATTCTCACCCAGAGACTAATTTTTTTTTGTTAATTTGCTTTGGGTGGTATTGATGTATAAATGAGGCATCAACTCGTAGCAATTTATAAAATAAACATCACATGGTTCCACGTTAATCATCATCTCTATTTTTAAAATGTCTAAGTCAGCAGCTAGTTACTGTTAGTTCTTAATTATTCTCTCTCCCAAAATTATTGTACAATTTGAGATTTCACTTTTAGTACAATTTGAACTAGAAATAAAAACTCAAATTGGACAATAATTTTGGGACGGAGGGAGTATTTTTTTTTTTTAACCAAACTACAAATCGTTCCATGTAATTGCATATCTCGTTCCATATTTCGTGTATAAAAATGTGTCATACATGATTTAGTGATTTCAAATTTACAATTATATAATTGCATTACCTGGTTTGAATATGAATTGGTCATGCAGCATTTTCAGAGAATATAGAATAACCAGAAAAACAAGTGTACACTTTCAATTTTTATTTAAAATTATGTAGTTTTTAATTGTTAAATTCAGTTTTTATTTTAAAAGTTTATTACTCCCTATGTTGTGGAGTATTTTTTGGGACATTGAATTTGAGAAAAATAGTTCATGCTTTTTTTTTTTTGTTACAATAAGAGAGGCCACGCCTAAAATTATATTATTCTCTCCGTCTCATAATAATTGTTCAGTTTGAGTTTTTATTTATAGTTCAAAATGTACTAAAAATAAAATCTTAAATTGGATAATAATTTTGGGACAAAAAGAGTAATATATTTCTAGGGTATGCTATTTCAATTAAATCATGTTTTAATCCCGATTTAACCCTTGCTAGTGGAGCTTGTAACCAGTCCAAACATTGATTCATTCATTCTCACAATATCCTTTCGATTTTTTACCGTAGAAAAATTGTTTACATTTAATTTTAATATCTGTAAAATTTTTAGTATAAATATCAAAACTCAATATGTACTATTATTTTTTTTTTTTTAAACGGAGGGAATATTTCTTAATACATTTTTTTAACAAACCCAGAAAAAAAAAGGGACATTCCCCACTCAGCCAAATAGTAAAAAATGGAAGGGATGAAAGGGAAGAGGAGAAATATCGACGTCATGCATCGCAACAAGATGGCATCCGCCATTAATGAGCAGCTCTGTATTCTAACCCACCACTATTAAATGCTGCTCACCACCACCACTCTCCCTCTCTCTATAACTCCCTCTTCCTTCCCCCCCATCTCTTTTCTCTTTCTTCTTTTCTTCTCTTTCTTCAAATGGACCACTCCTTTTTCCTTTATCCCACTTCCTCTCAATGTCCTCCGCCGCCTTCCTCCTCCAACCCCCACCTCCGCCCACACTAATCACCAGACCCCCCGCCGCCGTCTCGTCCTTCAGTCAAAAGCTCGGGTCGGTGGGCCTCGGCTACGCCATCGCCATCGCTTTTGGCTTCCTCGTATTCCTCTCCACCGTTCTCCTGGCTTCCTACATATGCTGCCGCTCCGCCGCCGCTCGCCGTCGCAGGCGTCGCGACGACCCGGAATCCGATCTCCGTGGCCGGAGCAGCCCGAACGAGACCAGCATATACCTGCCCCGGATTATATTCGTGGCGGAGGACGAGAACGAGGAGCTCTCCGAAAACGTCGTGGTGGGGCTGGATTTGGCCGTGATTAATTCCTACCCGAAGTTCCAGTTCTCCAAGCGGGTCGGGTTTTTCGGAGGGAACGAGGATACGGTCTGTGCGATTTGCTTGTGTGAGTACAAGGATTCGGAGATGCTGAGGTTGTTGCCGGACTGTAAGCATAGTTTCCACGTCACCTGCGTTGATGCGTGGCTTAAGCTTAACGCTTCCTGCCCCGTCTGCCGGAGCTCGCCGTTGCCCACTCCTCTTTCTACGCCCTTGTCGGAAGTTGTCCCGCTTTCTCAATATTCCGATGGCCGGAGGCGGTGATGATTGGAAAATTGGTGAGCCCAAAAAAAAAAAAAATGGCCTTATTAAATTGTTGCTACAGAGTAGTATTTGTTTTTTTTCTTTGTTTTAAAATTTTATTTAGGCAAAGGCACAAAAGAGGGTTGTGCTTGTTGGGGATTGTATTGAAAATGTAAAGAAAATTTTGGGATTTTTTTTTTTCATGAATTGGGTTGATGAATTCTGAACTGATCACTGTGTTGAGTTAAAAAAAAAAAAAAAGAAAAATATTAGTGAATCCAATTAGTCCATTGATTTCCATGAGAGATTTGAGATGTTTATCTTTCCAAACAGTATAATGCTGTGGTGATTGGAATCAATCAATTCATTTTTATTAAAGAAATGTGGGCGTTGTTTTTCCTAGATGATGATGACAATGGCCGTAAATCCGTAATGATTTATTCGTATTCCCCACTTGAAGTGTTACTCTTTTGAGACTTTTCTCAGTGCATTATGAATCTTCCGTAAATAAACTTTTGGTGTTGTTCCAAATATCATCAAGATTCAGTAAGAGTGTATTCTTTTTTTTGCCTTTTTATCTGTCGAGAAATTGCATCATTAAAATTGTCTACTTCAGCAGAATTTTGTATGGCTTGGTTTGTTTTTTTTTCTGACTTTTTATCTTCTCTGATAAACTTGCACGGTGAGCTCTTTTAGAGCTTATTCTGACATTTTGGTTCATCTGCAACAGTAATAATATCAGTCCTACATAATTCGATAATTTTGATCAGTTATTTTATGATTACGCTTGTCAACATTACTCACATCTACTCTTTTTTTGAACATTATTCACATCTACTCAATGATTTCCAATCGGATTTTTCACTAAGTGTATCACAAACTTGAATGTAATGTAACTTCATGCATTATGGTGTATATCTCTATGATTCCGATTAAAACTTGGAAGCAATATATATATAAGACTAGAGAACTATCTCAATTGGTAGGTACTTGGTAGTTTGGTAACAGCAGAACCACTTTTTGCTGAGTTGTTTTTTTTAAAAAATAACACTTTTAAAGTGCTGCAAAATGCGTTGTGCACTGTGAGTTTATGGGTGTTTTTTAGAGCGCATTCCAACAGAGACACACCACTTCAAGATTGAAGCCATCATTTCAGACATTGACCATTAACCCTTTTTTCAAAGCTAGATGGCCAAGAAAAATCCACCTCAAGAAAGGCAGAAACAATAATAAAATTTTTGCAATCTTAGATTTTCATGTTTCTTAGATGATGACGCTAGTCAAAAGAATTGGAAATACAATCCATGCTGTGTTTAAGTTGATCCAAATGGTCCTTCTTGTGTCTTTTTCATAAATTCTGTAGGCCCAAAGTTAGGTCATCAGCATCTTAGAGAATTACATTGGGCTCATCCATCACAATTGAATCAGTTGCGTTTGGTAGGATCCCATACTTTGTGTCGGCCCATTTATCTACAATGAAACATGGGCTGTATACCTAGGCTCCCATTTTAGCAGGCACTCCTTCAATTTACTTCGGTTTTAGTAAGGATTCAAAAGCTGAAAAGCTGAAGCCGGAAATGATTGCAATTTGCAAGTCTGTAAACATCCTTGGTTACACTCCCATCTTTTTTGCCCACCCTTTCCAACTGGATTGTGGGGATCCCTAATGTAAAAAAAAATAAAAAAAATGAATCATATAACTAACTGTATGTTTGTTTTGTTTTTTTAGTGTGTGTTTTTGTATTGAAAATGTAAAAAAGCGTATTGGAAATGTAAAAAGTTATACTGTGATAGAACAGTTATTATTAAAATAATCTAAAAAAACCATCCAAATAATCAAACAAACAAAAATGTTCTTTAATTAGATGTGATTAATAATTAAATAGTTCATTTCTAAAGTTAACGTGTTTCTTTTGGATACAATAATATAAGTTACCCTGACTGCAAATAGAAAGTGACAAGTGTGAAATGCTGCTATACATGCTAGATAGTACACACTGTGTCAAATTGGTTTCTTTGTTGGTAAGTTTGCCTGTCAACGACCGTTCTGCAACTTCCTCTATACACTAAATGATACTCCATCGGTCTCATAATTATTGTTCAGTTTGAGTTTTCATTTTTGGTTCAAATTTTACTAAAAGTGAAATCTCAAATCGGACAATAATTATGGGACAGAGGGAGTACAATTACCGCGACTTTTATTTAAGGAGCCAGAAAATATGCATTTATAGATGCACAATGGGAAGTATGAAAAATCTTAACATGAAGTTTTTTAGATAGTAATATTTGGTGTACCGAATCCTTATTTAATCAAATAGTGCTCAACTTTTCACAGTAGTACGGTTTATTTTATTTTATTTTAAGTTTAAAGAAAAGTTTTGAATCCGACCGTATTATTTCAGTCTTAGGAGTTCGAGAAGTGTAGGAGATGCCAAAACTAGCAGCCTAATTTGTCTCAAAGCCTGCGTTTTTCGCATTGAATAATTATGAGGGAGGTTCGTACATGACGTCGCTAACAACAATCAGGATTCGGGGCGAAAAATTTGTGTTGGGCGATTTTTGATAACACAAATTTTTCACCCCTCAACCACTTTTCACCTCAAGTACTCTTCGATTTTATTGTGGTCAAAAAATATTTTTTACAAATAAAATGAAAATATACAATCAACAGTTGTTGAGCTACAACTATAACATACTGTATATGATTTGATTTTATCTTTTCTATCTTCGCTTAAATTTAATTTCCTACGATCTACATTCAATGATTCAACACACATGAAGCAAATGTAAATCATACAAGTTCATATAAACATTGTCATACTTTTGATGATGGTTTCAACTCCCACCAGAATGTATATTGATACTGATTGCAAATAAAAGTTCAGAGTTATCTCATTCTTATTGATTCCTTTGTTTGTTTTTTTTTTTTTCTTAAGAAGGAAACTGTTTATTGAGTAATTATTCAAAGTGGAGTCGAGAAAGCAATATATACAAGGCAATAGATATAAGGTAATTGTTCAAACTGTTTATTGAGGCTCATTAGTGATACGCTTTTCCGTACCGTGGAGAGTCCTGGCCAGACGTTGCTACCGACGGTGGGGAGTGATCTAAAGGCGCTCAACCAAATCAAAATCCCTTTTTTTTAATAAATTTTGAAAAAAAAATAAAAAGGTTATAAATATTATTTTATTTGCCCACGGATTTTTGTCTCTATCAAAAATTCGTTTAATCATTCATAGGCCTCTAAATTGAAGAAATATTTTTATTTTTTGATTGGAGTTGAGATAATTTAAAAAAGGATAAGAAAATAGTTTGTATGTTTTAATTTTATGATAAGACAAATTTATAAAAAAGAGCGCTCCAAGATTAAGGAGAGCGACAATTAACATAACCCTGGAATAGATTTACACAAACATGGTAGGAGTACACGTCGACGTACTAACGTGGAGCCCGCTTAGTAGACATGGTTGGAAAGTGGAAGAATCTGGACCGCCCAAATCCTTAAAGAAGGGATTCCAACCTTATCATCAGCCCGACACATGGCCGCAATCTGTAGCTGGTCGGTGCCCCACTCACATAAAGCCCAAACTAGTAGAAGCCAACCCAAGATTGGAAAAAAAATGAAAAACCATTGGCAAAAATAATACGTACACAAGTCCAAAATTCACCGCCCCTTTTCCATTTCAAATTAATTCATTCAGAGTATAGTTTTTAACATGTTCAGTCCTTCATTTAGCTTAGAATTAAGCAATTTTGCTATCTTTTTTTTTCTTTCCCGAAAAAGTATCATATTAAGAAGAAGAGCAATTTTGCTATCTAGCATCATTATCTTTCAAGGTCTTATTTATTTATCTCTCTCTCTCTCTCTCACACACACACACACACACATACATATATATATATATATATATTACATGATAATTGATCACATCGCAATTCACTTTCATTAGACCGTTAATTAAAAATTTTAGTTGAATGCTATATTATTTTAATTTTTACTTCGTTATTTATGAGAAAAAAATTCTACTCGCTTCTTGTAGCTTTCATGTCGTGTGACTATATAGTGGACTTTCAAATTTAAATACAATCTTTTATATAGGAAATAGGAGTATAAAATATCATCTTAAATAGAAGATAATGAGATAATTGTTATAATTTAAATTATTCCAACTTCAAATCAATTTGTGTGTATAACAAAAATATGGTAATAAAGATTAAAACCCAAACAGAACAATAATTATAGGACAGAGGGAGTACATATAAAAAGATATCTAGCCATAAAATACATATGAAAAAATACTAGAAACTATCTCAATGATCTTCTACACATTCATTCTTTAAGAAATACTGTCTATCTCTCTCTTTTTTCCCCCCTCATCATATTATTTTCCTAAATTAAATTCATAATTTTCTTCTATAAATTACAATGTAAATAATTAAATACGAATTTAATTTAGTAAAGATAAAAAAATATTACCGTACAGAGGTTTGTTTATAAGTATAGGTGAAAATCCTCGAATATTAATGAATGAAATAATTTGTTAAACTTACCTCCCTAACAAAAAAAAAATATATAGTTATACGAAATTGAGACAAATTTGGAAATCATGAGGTAAATCTGTCATGCTTCAAATAATGTGAACTAAAACCTGCAAATCAGTAAACAAACGGATCCCAAAGTGCAAAACTAAGAAGAAGAAAAGAAGATTTATCGCCGTCAGTTTCATTTAACGCCGTTAATCACCTCGATAAACCCCACACGAACCTCACCGCTTCAATTCAAAACCCATCCGAACCTCAGCCTCGGAAATACTCCAAACCTCTAAATCTATATAACCAGAAACCCAAAAAAGGCATCATCTGCTCTGTGCACTAACTTCGCTCTACTTCAAAGCCTTTTCCGTTTTCTTTTTCTTTGGATTCAAATCTTCGTTTTTTGATTTTTAAAGCTAGTTAGGTTTCTCTTGTTTTCTGCTGGACTTTGGCAATGGCGGATCACGTTGAAGATTTGGACAAGAAGGAGACTTTGTTGGAGAAGATTTCGGAGAAGATCCACGGCGGCGACGATGACTCTTCCTCCTCATCTTCCGATTCGGATTCTGAGAAGAAGGCAGTGAAGGAGAAGGAGAAAGAGAAGGAAAAGGAGAAGGAGAAGTCCCCCTCGACTGTGAAGGACAAGATTTCCCGTCTGTTCGGCCGGGAGAAACCGGTTCATCAGGTCTTTGGAGGAGGAAAACGTACGGTTTTTACTTTAATCCCAATTACTGTAGTAGTTCAAGTTCATTAAAACATGTCTATTCTGAGTTTCGCTTTTAGGGTTTATTTAGTGATCTTGATTCTTTTTCTAGATCTACTAGTTTATATTACGGTACATAATGATGTGAAACTTCGAGGCGGAGATTCTTTGAACTATGCCTCTTGTGAATTCATTGGCTTTTTTATAATTAGATTTCCTTTTTAGTGGGGGTGGAGTTGTCGGTGGGGTTTAGGGTTTTAAAGATCTTGGTGCCTGCAGATTTGTTTCCTATATCGGCTTTTGATTGGTCGAATATAAGATCTTTCCTTAAGTTGATAAGTTGAAGGGGGGAAAATCTGTTAGCAGCTGCACTGTTGGGTAATTTGCACAGGAAATATGTTTGTGTACGAGAATGCTAAAATTTTGAGGTAGCTAAGTTAGGATTTGAGTAAGAAATGTTGTTCTGATGACTGTTCTTGCCAGTCAGTTGAAATTTTATTTTTGCTGGCTGTTCTTCCCAGTTGGCTGTGGAATATTTTGGTTTTGAGTGCGAATAAGTGATTGTTCAGATACATTTGGTTGTCTTGTATAGTATATATGTAGTTTATATGCTGACTCTGTTTGTCTGGCTGCGTCTAGCTGCGGATGTGTTCCTGTGGAGGAACAAGAAGATATCTGCTGCATTTGTTTTAGGAGCTACGGCAGTTTGGATTCTCTTCGAACTGCTTGAGTATCACTTGCTCACTCTGGTCTGCCATATTCTGATTCTCGTGCTGGCAATCTTGTTCCTCTGGGCTAATGCTTCTACTTTCATTAACAAGTAAGAGATTCTCCGCCTCAAAATGATGATTACTTTATCAGTTGCATGAAATCTTACAGCCATGTTAAACTTCTGGAATTTTCCTTGTCTATTAAGGTCCCCTCCTCGCATTCCTGAAGTTCAACTTGCGGAGGAGCCATTCCTTCAAATTGCTGCTGTACTGAGATTTGAAATCAACCGTGCCCTTTCCGTATTGCGTGAAATTGCTTCTGGAAAAGACCTGAAGAAGTTTCTAGCTGTAAGCTTTTTATTTTGGCTTATTTCGTTGTTCCTTGATGTTGCTGGGGTGGTTTTATTCGTTTGTTTCGTGTGAAAGAATTTGCAAATCGTTTTGTTGCGATCAAGTTATGCCTTTGGAGTTTAATAATCTTATTTTGAAATAAAGTGTATGGTAATGTTGCAAATTTTCTGAAGATGCTTTTCTGTTTGGAATTTTGTTCAATATTCATTGGTATAAGATTTTGGAATGGGTACTGTTTTCTGCCCTCAGGTCATTGCTGGACTGTGGTTCTTCTCTATTCTCGGCAGTTGCTGCAACTTTTTAACCCTCTTCTATATAAGTGAGTGCACTTTCATTTAACACCTTTATGCTCCTGTTCTGATTTCTTTCTTATCACAAATTTCAAAATTTGCTTTTTGTTAAATCCGTTACTGAAGTAATGTGTGTCGTTGATGAACAGCATTCATCTTGTTGCACACTGTACCTGTTCTGTATGAGAAGTACGAGGACAAGGTTGATGCTTTGGCTGAGAAGGGAATGATTGAGTTCAAGAAACAATACAAGGTGTTCGATGAAAAAGTTCTAAGCAAAGTCCCCAGAGGGCCTTTGAAGACCAAGAAGCAAGTTTAAGAGACTCTGATCTGCTTGACCTGTTGTATTAGCTAAGTAACATTATGCAAATCTGCAGAACATAGTTTTATATTGTCGTGCTAGTTTTGATTTGATGACTGGTAGCGCGTTATTTTGGGGTGAAAGAATTAATCTGAAGGGTTTGGCTAGGCTTCTGCAGGGTTTTCTATGTATTGGACAGAATAGTATTTTAATGGCAGCGGTTTCTTAGTGCAGTAGTTGCTGAATTTTCTCTTTATGAAAATCTTGAACAGGGTTTCTTCAATGGTTTAATCATTTCTCAAGCCATTTGCGGCTGTTGCTTCCTTATGTTTAAGAGCAAGTTTCCAATTGTTGCTTGATTATGTTCTTCCTCCTCTAATTGTCGATCTCGAATGTTACAACTGTGAAGTCCTTGTAAACCTCTCTTTTTTTCCCCCTCTTTTTTCCTTTTGATTTTAATTCTAAATGATTGGTCTCTGGGTATCACACTATTACTTACTCGTTCAGTCCTAACAATGATGGGAATTCTTAGTTTAGAATAAACAAACAATTTTTTTATTTTGTGTGGAGGTTGATAATTTTGTTCTCTTCTTCAGTTTAATGTTAAGTAACAATAGTCAATTGTAAGAATGTTAACTTGTTCTTTTACCTTGTTTTAGACCCCATCAATTCCAAAATGATGTTCAAATATTGTTTTATATGGGAAGTTTAGAGCAGAGCGAGCATTTGTAGTCGATTTTTTCTGTTTGTTGCACAAGTTAATGGACTTTGCCCTGTGTTTTCGAAGCAACCAGCTGAAAGACCAGCAAAATAGCTTCAATGGTAAGGAAAAAACCCGAAAAGAAGTGCCATCTATGATGAAGATGGAAGCCCGCCACTCAGTAAGAGATTTTTTTCCTTAAATTAAAACTGATAGTATTTCATTTACATGTATAATATAGCTGGGAGAAATGAAAACTGGACATGACAATACAACACACAGAAACCAGATAGAATGATGGTGAACTCTTCTGGCCTTGGACCATTGACAAAAGAATTGATCAATGAACAAATGGTAGTAATGACCGAACAAATGGCACAGACGCATATCAAAATTTATACCTTTCTCCCCTACAGGAAAAACAGGTTAAGAGTATCTTGTAAGGAATCTTGAAGCCTGAGAATTGTTTTCAGATGCGGAAAGTGGTACTGTCGAGAACTCTGAGTCGGTGCTTTCCGAGTGCAGGATGGCCCCGCGATGAGGTATTGGGCTAGAATTTTGATATGAAAAAACGCTTGGCCCATCAGAATGGGTCATAGCAGTAGGAATTCTCGTACCAGTACTTGGACTTGCTTTGTTTTGATCTTCGGAGGCACTGGCAGCCAATTCTCTCTTCTCTTTCTCTTCAGACTCCTTGAGAAGAAAATCCACCCACATGTCTGCAAAAGACTGCATGGTCCAGAGAATATGTCAATGATTGAAAGGCTAAAAGCTATGATCCCACTAAAGAGACAATAAATGGTTCAGAACGAGATGTGTTAGCTACAAAAAATAATTAGGTAGACATGACTGTTTATAAGCACTTAGAAGACTACAGTCATTACAGCACTTATTAACTATAACAAAATCACAGAAAAAAAATAACAAACATGCCTGGTCATCAGCTCTCATATTTGAAGAAACTTCAGAACCACCACCACCACCCAAGATACCACCGACTAGCCGGCCAGGAAGTCCAAAGACACCCCGAACGACACCTTTACCTCCTTGCTGAGCCACACCTATTCTTTGCTTGTCTTCATCAGTAAATCCTAGCATTCGGACCATAAGATCCAAAACCTGCAGGCATTAGGCAAAAATAAAATCAAATGCGAAAATTACAGATTACACCAACGTATAGTTTCCCAATCTCAAACCAATCAAATATGAACTTTTCCCCATACAGGCTTGTCAAATACAATAGGCAGCATACCTCTTTGCTATGGTTTCTCTGGAAGTATGTCACCAATAATTTGATCACAATTCGCCTGGCAAAAGTTATACTTATCAATCTTTTGAAGTTCATGGAGTGTGTAGCATAACACAAGAAGATTACAGCCATATACAAAACAAATAACCCATGTCACTACAGTTACATGCCTACCCAAACATTGATAGAGTAATTCCTAAAAAAATACTCAAGCACAAGCTCAAAGAAAAATTCAAATTCAATAGATAAAATATCAGATCAACGGACATAACCTGTCAACAAGAAAGTCAGAATCAACAGACATCCTATTCAGCCTCGTCATGCTCTGCTCAAGAGCACGACGTAACTTTTCATTGTCTCCCTCAAGCTTAAGAACTCTATTCTTTCCCTCAGCAAGCATCCTATCACTCTTTGACAAATTAGCAACCATTTCTTCCTTTTCCTTCCTTAATGCTTCCACTTGTTCATAGGACTCCTGATCACGAGCATTCAGAGACAACAGGAAATATCCCAATTTAGACTTACAAAAATGAAACAACTCAGGGAGATGCTATTTAGATTCTTGGATCTCCAGCTTGAAAATGCAAAGAAGTAATGTCAATAGTTTGACAAAATAAAAGCAAGCACAACCAATTGGTTTTGTCAATACATCTTCACCAGAAATGCATAAATGATTTGAGTATAGAAACGAAAATCGCACTTTTGCCTTATTTATCTTTGCTCTATCATTTTAATAGGAACTAGTCCAACTAAACCATAAGCAAGTCGATCTAGCAACCTCAATTTTACCCTTACACCATGATGTTATAGCTCACAAATGGAGTTTCTCGGAATCTTTTCTTTTGTTTGGTTGCTCCATTTTTTTTCTTCTGTGTCTTGAACTGGGAAAAAGAGTCCAGTTACTGCACACAAAGTTGAAATCTTCCCAACTTTCTATTTGCAAGTTCTACACTGACTTGTTCAATATTATTTAGGAAGATAAGCCAGCATTCTAAAGCACTCACAGAAGTTGTTCAAGACAGTCAAAAACTACAATTAAAATCACAAGATTATACCATATAGATAACAGTTTGAAGCCATTATGGCAAAGAAATGGAAGAATACTGCATTAAAAAAGTAGTAAACAAACCAAAGAAATGAAATGAAATGAAATGAATGACTATAACCTTTAAGAGCCCTGAGATTCTTGCAGATTCTTCTTTTACAGCAGCTAAATCCTCTCCCAGTCGTTCCTGACATAGTAAAGCGAATGGGATACAAAAATGAGATATCTGATGAAAGCTCCTTTCATATGCAAAACATATATTCACGTATAAGCCGACAACATTCTTGATTTGTTTCAAAACTTCTCAAATGGAGCATTTGGTATACCTTAGCTTCTATTTCAGCATAATACTGACCAAGAGCAGTTTGCAGGTTGAGAACTTCAACATTCTTGGTCTCAATCATACTCGTATAACTTTGTAGTTTACTATTTAACTCGTAAATTACTTCCTTGGATTTCTTGATTTCAGTTTCATTCATCAATTTAAGTTCTTCATAATTTGCATGGGCCTGCTTTAAGGATCTTTCCAACTGCATTATTTGAGATTTCTGGTAATCATTATTTGCTCGCAGTTCTTCGATAATCTTGCTATCTTCATCCATTTTATCAGCCTCTTCTGCTTCCTGAAGATAGAAAAACTTAAGTTACGTATTCACTTTGTCCAGACGATGCCAATATTAGCTCCATAGTTTAACAAAGAAAATAATCACAACCACTCCACATGCAGAAGGTAGAGAAGAACAATGATATCATAAAACTAACAAACATTCAAAAGAGAAAACAAAACCAGAAAAAAAAAAAGCCCGGGTACCAAAATGGTTAAGCACAGCAAATGGAACTTCTATTAGCGTGTGAAGAAAACTATGAAGACAATGGTTCCCATTGTATCTAGAACAAACCTTTTCAAGTAAATGCTGCTTCAGACGGTTAAGTTGTTGCAATGCTTTATCCCTCTCTCCGCGGACCTCCTTTAACTCTTTGTCCATCTTTTGCAATGATTTCTCCATTTCTTCCTTCTTAGATGATTCTCCTGACGACTGTACATTTTTTCGCAATTGTATTTGCCTTAGTACCAACTTGAATGCCCAGACAGGAAGATAATAAAAAGGTTAATGAATTATTCTTGGAGCCACAAGAAACGCACCTCATGCTGATTTTGACTTGCTGATCTATCCTTTGTTGCTTCCAAGGCAGCAATAAGTTCATCATTCTTAATCTAAATAGGAAATAAGAGAACATGTGAGGTGGGAATCTTAATAAAAAAACATAAGACCATATTCATCATCAGAAAAATATATATTTGACAGATAATAAATGTAATATAGCAACCTTAAGTGTATTATTTTCGTTCTCCAGGGTTGAAATTGCTATTTTCAAATTCTCCATGGTCCCGTTGGTTTCATTATGGTCTCTTCTTTGGAGCTCCATTTGTAATCTTCTTATATCTGCTATCTTCTGGTTCAATTCAAGACGGACTTTTGACATTTCTGACGACAACTGCAAAAAAAAAAGGGAACAAACCAAAATAAACCACTTGGAAATAAAGAAAAGAAAAAATATGTAAAGGATATCACAGAGCATATAATTGATGTCCAGAGTTGGAGAGGTGGGGTTGCTAGCAATAGTAAGATCTCACTTCATTCGTGATTCAGTTTCTGAGAAACGGGCAATAAATATGGCAACACATAAACAGCCGCAATGGGAGAGGAGTGAAGGGGATCACAAAAGTATGATAGCAGGACCAATGCACCAAGTATTCTAAATTTGCATAAAATCTGCCATTGACTAAAATTATACAGAAACAAAACGGCATCAAACTAATGACTCACCTGATCCTTCTGTATCCTTAAAGAGCTTAGCTCCTGCTGAATAGTGCTATTCAATTTCTGTTCCTCTGCCCCCCCAAAAAAAAAGTATCAAGTCAAATGCTTGAGGGAAAATAAAATAACCAAAATATCAAGTATTTTGAAAAGTACCGCTTAATCTCTGACTGCTATTAGACAACTTCTCATGCTCACTCTTCAACTCAGCTCGCAACTGCTTTATTTCCGATTCATGAGCTGCTTGTAGTGCAGCCAAAGCTTTACCTCTCTCTTCAAGTAAATCTGTGAGCTCCTAGAAGCATGTAGACATCTGTTATCAAGTTTGTTCATCACCAAGAAAAAGATAACAACGGGAATATGAATTATTGGTTGGGATGAGAGAGGATAGGAAGAGTCTGGCCATTTGAGAAAGTCCATCAGCTCTGACACTACACTGATGGTAGAAAGGCAAAAGAAAGGTTGAACAGTGTGAAAAATAGATGAGGGAAGAGAAAAGAAGATGGCTAATTATGTTATAGGAACAAAATCCACTAAGAATATTCAATTAGTATTCCCCAATACCAAGGAAGCAATAATGAAAGATAGGCAACAGCAAAGAACTTCTAACCAGGAAAAATATTTAAGAAAAACCAGAACCTCTTTTACAGCTGTGGTATTATATGGTAGGAGCATTACCTTTTCAGAGCCTCCGATTCCATTACTTGGAATTTCATGTTTGAATGCACTTCCGTTCTGTGACGGGCTTCCAGTTGAACGATTTCTCACCAAACCTTTATTTAAGCCCCTGGGCGACTGTTCACTACCCTAAACAATTAATAGATGATTTTAGTCTTCATCATGAGAAAAAAAGTCCATGAGCAGGGTTCTAAAGCTATGACACAAACAGTATAACAGGTTCCCCATTCAAGCTTTCGAAAACAATAAAAACGACTATAAGAACTATAGATGACAACTGAAAAACTATAACAAGATTGCACATGGAAGAAGTAACCCAAAACAACAATGATAATATTGAACAACAATAAACCCAACTTCATGCTCATAGACATCCAAAGTAAAACAAAAGGACACAATACGCTCAGTAATCTTTCAATATGGACCCACACGGTGTTTATGAGCTCTTAAATAATCACACAATAAGATTTCCAAACATGGATCTAAATTCAATGAATATTCCACCCTCGAAATAAAATCAATCGGCATGCTTTTATGAGTTATATAAATCAAAGGGTTGTACTTCATTACATCCACAAAAATAATCTCAGAAAGGGAAAAAGTCAAGAAGATCAACAATCAGAATCAATATTGACGATTTTAAGAAGTTACCTTGGTGCTTTTAGATGCACTTAAAGCAGCATTTGTTGCATTAAGATTTTGCTTCAATGTTCCATTTTCTTCGCGCAACCTCAAAATTTGATTCTGCAGAAAACATTCGATTAAAACTGAATAGAACAGAATTCTTATGCACAGATTGATATGCAATAGCAACTTGATTGATATGGGTTTCATTCAACACAACAGGCAACATGAATACAGCAAGTTCTTTTAAAACTGGCAAACTAAGAATATTGCCTTTGAGGTAGCCCAATCGGGAGAGTTGCAGGAATTGAAAGAAGGCAGAAGGAAAGGCTAATTGAGTGGTAGGGATCATTGTCAAAAAGTCCAGTCTATAAAATCAGATAATGGAAAAAAGATTGAACACCATGAATAACCTCTTTTTCCTTCAGTAAAGCTGCATAGTTAACAGAAAGTGCTTTGATTTCTGCCTCAGATTCCTGAAGCCTCTTGATGTCTGCTTTATATAGTTCTATCTGCAACGTTGATTTGAAGTCAATAAACCTCTCAACCAGAGATAAAAAGGGTGAAAATAACAAAAGTTCCAAACCCTCCTTTCAGATATCAAGAAAGAAAAAAAAATTATAGGTATGTCAAACCCAAATCTTATTAAGATGTCACTAAAAGATTCCAAAACGATTAATCTCGACTATAGATAAGTAATCCAGAGAAAGATTGCTGCAACCCACAACCATAGCTCCTATTGTTTTCAGATACCTAGATCATTAAACACAATAGGCTTACATGTTCTATCTTCTTAATTCAAACAGTGAGGGTAGAAAACATAATACCCAAATGCTTGTCACTATTCTACTGCACACATCAATATTTCTGTATTCAACCAATTTCATTCGTACAGAGAGGGAACAAAATTCAGTTTCATTGAGCAAAAGAAATCAACTGGTCACAGAGCAAACCCTCGTATCTCCAGCTTACACTAAGTATGCTTAACTCATAGCACTGAGTGTAATCAGCTTCCAAAAAGGCTCCCACGACATCCGTATAGGTTTGCTCACTACTTTCAGATCACTATTCAGACACTCCAGTCCAAGATACCCAATTCTAATTGTCCCTGATAATTCATAGATGTATATAAGATAAAGTTATCATCACAACCAAGAAGATTGAACCGAATGAGCTTATTGGTCCAAGATTTCAGTATTTACAACTTAAGGAACAACTCGGAACCAACCTGACCCTTTTCTCACTAATCAACACCCAATCCGAGAATTAAACTGGAGATACTCAACTCTAGAACATATTAATGATCTAACCAACCAACCCCAACCCGGCATCGAAATAACACAGTCAATCTCCCATTAAGTAAACCCAACATTGCAAAAAAGCTGCAATTTTGTTCTCATAACTCTCAGTTCAATTTAACCCAACCACACAAGGAAATCAAATGCTATCCTATAAATTCAAAATTCTTAAATTTATCCCCAAACTACCATCAATCGGTAACCATAACAACAAAACCCCTAAAAATGACAAAAGATTATCACCAGTATATATATACAAATGAAGGGAAACATATAGGCACCTGAGAATTGTAAGGGGAATCGAAGCCATTGGCGAGTGGAGAATGTGTCGGTGTCATTGAATGCGCAAAATTGTGCGAATTCCGCCGATCAAACAACGAGTTCCCGTTTTCCCGATCCCGTGAACTGTACGCAGAGAGCACCTCATCATCCTCATCATCCTCCCCGTCGTAAACATCAAGAGTTATTTTGTTCAGATTTTCCTTGAGATGTGCGATTGAATTCCACATCACGAATTAATCATAAATGCCCAAAAAAAAAAAAAAAAAAAACCCCAACAAAAAATTCTTAGCTCAGAGTATGAGAAATAAATTAATAGCACGATTAAGGGTTTATAAATTCTAAGAAGGAGAAGTGGCCAAAGCCAGGAAGATTTATACGTTTACGAAAAATTAATTTCAGCCAGGAGGAAGAAGTTTGAGTATAATAAGCAATAACTATAAATAAATCCAAAAATCCTAATACTGTTACAGATCTTGTAATAAAATTTGGGGGTTATTTTTCCCCTAAATTACACGTATTTTATATACGTACCCGCTATTTTTTTAACTGTTGTAGCGGGAGACGTAAATATAGTATAGTAATTTTTTTTTTCTTTTTATAATTTATCAATTGAACTTGAAAAGAAAAAAAAGGGTTAAAATCTGAAAATATTTATTAGAGTTAGGCCGATGATATTCAGTTCTTACTGGCCCAACAGCTAGAGTCCAACAGGCTAAGTAGTTGTACTCTATGGACGGGTATGGTCACAAATAATTAGGCCCATTTATAACTTCCTTCAAGGCTCTATAAAAACTTGAACCTCCCCAAATTTCATGTATTCAGTCCGCCGCACACGGCGAGCTCAAGCTGCGTCTCCAAATCTAGGGTTTAATACAGGTTCATCTGAATCTCCTCCATGTTTTGTTCCTCTTCTGTTTATTGCTTCTTTTGATGATTACGTTTTAATATGGGAAGAGAGTAGCTATGAAGAATATTATTCAATTAGGTTATTCGCGAGTGGTTTCGCGGTGTGAACCCCTTTTTTTCAATTGGTTCGTATTCTCTGAGCTTCTCTCTTTGCTCTTGATTTCGCCTTGAAGTGGTTTTTTAGCCTTTTGTTCGATTGGAATTTTTGAAAAGAATGAAAACGGGGGTCCTATGGACGAGATGCTGTTAAAATCAATGCATTTTCGGCCAAGTTTGCCTTCGGAAATCAGTTTCTTCGAATTTACAGATCACCGGTCGGATTCAATCCGATTTCGTTTGTGTTCTTTTATATATTTTTTTACAGAAATTCGAACATATCTTTTTTCCAACTAGGCATTATGATTCGCAGAAATCATCTTTGTTTTGGTAAAAAAAAATTGTTGCTTAAAGCGAAGGTCCCAGCAGAGGGACAAAGCACTCTTGCAAATTGAGGTCCCTCTAACAATTTCGATTCAACCTTCGCAAATGTTTGCCGAATCGTAGGATGCTCCAAGTTTTTCTTCGTTTTGGTGCGTCCGGAACCCTCGGCTACATTCAATAATTTCTCAACCATGTCTTGGTAAAGTTATGCCGCGTCTCTCCATTTCTATCTGGGTTTACTGATTTTCATTCTATAATTAAGAATTTAAGATAATGGTTTGTATTTTTTTGCAATTAAGAAAAGTTGGGAAGAGTCTCGAAGTGAACAAATTGTGAAAGCAAATTGGACTTTGAAACTAAAGATGTGAACATTTTCTGGTAAATTACAAATAAAGTGTAAGAAACTAAGAATTAAAAATTGGAATGATGGATTATTTATTTAAACCCCACAAAGTTTATCCAATTACAGCTATTGAAACACATCAAGAAACTAATAAAACCGGATAGCCAATTCCTTCCTCAATCAAAAAGCAATTTGGGAACCAAAAAAAAAACTAGTACAGTTCAAAGTAATTGTCAGCATTCATGACAAAGATTGGGATGACTCTCCGCCCTTTGTTAATTCAAGCATTAACAACAACGTATACCATCATAAAGCTTTAATTTCTGTATCCAACCAATCATACTCAGCCTTCAAGGATGTCGAATACCATAAAGCTAGATTTCCGTTTCCAGCATTCATGACAAAGATTGCTGCATTTCTGCTTAACCAATGCTTTCTTTCATCCAGCTGATTCCAGGGACCTGGATTCGTCCTCAACGGTTTCTCAGGATCAAGAGTGTTACACGAGCCAAGTTGGCCCTACAAACCATATACATCAATTACACATGGTTAGCAACATCTCCCCAGTGATTTTGAACTTGTTTATACCAATTATCAAAATAGAGGATGATCCCACACCCCCAATGATTATGAACTACTTTATACCAATTATCAAAATAGAGGATGATTCCACACCTGACAAAAATTCTCTGTCCTCGGTAAACATAGGACTATCTCATACTCCATAAGTCTCTAAATGGATTAAAAGAAAAGAAGCAGAAAATTAGAATCCAACTTAATTGATGCCTACATGTGATCCAGAATGTAGTCCAACAAAGATATCATTTGGCAAGGGGCCTGTCATGTAACCTTTATGGTTCCATGATTTATCTCCAACAATCGCCCCAAAGGGAGCAGAAACTAGCTGACCCTAAAACTGGATAAAAATTAAACCATGAGCAGTTCAATCAAATACTGAATCATGTAAACGCGTCAATGCAAGTTTCTAGCGCAAAATCATGTTTTTCAAGGATACAGCTTTTCTCGATCAACCAATGTTGTCAAATATTAGAATGTACTTTGTAGCACTTCTTTTCCACCAAAGCATTCATTGGGACCTGAATTTGCTTTCTGAAGTTCTTGAAGCTCAAACCTTAGAGGCTGCTTTCGAGCTGCGATGGGGTCAATATGGGGAGCCTTCTAACTTGTTGATAGGTCATTTAGGTTTCACAAGATAGGATGCCCAAATCTCATTTGAAGGAGGTGGTGGTTGAACCCAGTGGCCTGGAATTCGGCTGCATGGATGTACAACAAAAAGTACAAAAAATATAAGCTAATTCCCAAAAGGTGACCACAATATTAGTAGCCAAAGGATCGTCTATACAAAAGGCAAGAGAGATTTTAAAACAACATAGATTCATCATATCAACACTAACAAGAAATCAATCTCTGCAATTCCATCCTCAATACCAAATCTCAACAAGCATAAAAAAAATCATAGCGGAAATTCTGTTGTGTATTCATGACCATTGACTTGTTCAATTTTCATATAGCATGAATCAAAGAGGGTTCAAATGGCAGGGGCAGAAGGTTGACCAAAGAAAGAAGAAACTAGGAAATCCAATTAACCAAAAAAAAAAAAAAAAAAATTAAAGGAGGAGGCATTCTTCAGCCACTAGAAAACTAACCTTCCCCCAGGTCTAATGTATGTATCCCATGTTCTTCGAACCTGCATAGAAGAAAGCAGTCTTTCAGATGATGGGATAAAGCCCAAGTGGCTATAGCGTGACTCCCTCTTAACACATTTGCAACTCAAAATGTTGGAGTGATTAAAAAAGGCCATTGGCAACCCAATGATAGATTTGACCATACAATGTCCCTAAAACATCAAGAGCGAGGAGAATGTAAAAACTCACTTCTATGAGTGTGCCCATATCTGTTTGCCCACCATAATAATAGTGATAAAATTCCATTGGCAAGTTTGCATTATAATCATATTCTCTGCTTGAACTCTGTCCTACTGCCCCTTCTTGTCTTGAGTCATTGTCATTCACTGCAGATGGACCTTCTCTACCTTCATTTTCCCTTACTGATTTGGAAGTTTCAACTGGGTGGGATTCTCCTGATTCATTTCCATGAATTTGGGTAGAAGTCCTAGTTTCCTCTGCAGTTGCAATAGCATCCTTGGCAGCATCTGTATCAGCTGCTGCCACAGCCAAACGTTCCTCTTCCTCAACAGCAGCTTTAACTCTTTCAAGAAACTTGTCATCCTCCTCAGGAAGAAAGCGACCTGCAAAACAAGAAGGTCGCGTCTTCTTATGCAGGAATATCTATCTGCTACGCCTACATCGTAATAAGTTGCACATAACATTGTTCCATACATCTTTTAGCACTAAATTATCAGCAGTCGGTGACAAAAAATCAGCAGTATAAACAAGCTGAAATTAACATCAGCAAGTATTGAGAGCGATAGGATTTATCAGATTTGCAAAACATATTTACCGCACAGTAGTAACAGAGAGATTCTAGATCAACTCTATTATTTGCAATATCGAGTATATTAACACTAAAGTACAAAAATATAGAAATATGCAGATCCTATATCAAAGATGGTTCAGTATAACATCTTATTAGAGGACATAACACGCCTAAGACAAAGCAAACACAAAAGTCATATTCCGTCAATATTGATTCAAAGATTCAATGCTAAGAGACAGAATGAATGCAAACAATAGAGATTATAAAGAATACCTTGTTTCTTCAATTTTTCAATCCTGATCGATCGCAGTTCTTGCAGCTTTTCCACAATTAGCATCACCTCAAGCTGCAAATAAATCCAATAAGCATACAAACTCCAAATGGAGCACGGACTATTAGAGCACAAGTACAATACTCACATCAGATTCTAACTTTTTCTTGTCCTCTCTGGCCTTAAGTTTTGCGATTTGCTTCATCTTTTCTACCTGCAAATACATATCACCCCCATCAGCAGGGAAATTCAATTCAACTGCATCAAAATCATTCCAAATGATAAGAACAATGGGATAAAAGTTATGCCTTTGAACTTTAACAAATTTATGTGACACATGCAACAAACCAAGAACTATAAGAACTACAAAGGAATTATGCTTCGCCAAAGTCAAGGCAAACCAACTCTTAATCAATTATTGGGAAATGTGGCCAATGAATCAAATCCATATTTTCAGTTTGACCACAATACATAAAGGATTGCACACTGTTCATCTAAAGGTTCATACACAAATCTAAGGAAACTTAAGGTTCTCTTCAAACATTACCAGTCAAGGATGCACCACGGCACCCACCAAAGCCAGCAAACCCAAAAATCAACTATTAAGTTATAATTGGACATTTGAATACAAGCCAACATTTCTTTTCTGTGAAACAAAAACTTCCAGTACTGGAAGCTATCAAAATCACACATTTGATCAAACTACAAAAAGGCAGAGAAGGCGATTCTGATCAGTAGGAAAACCAAACACAATGATGACAATAAGAAAAACAACAACAACGAAGCCCATCATCATTACCTTTCCTTTGGCAATTTCTTTGGCTATCTCATTAGCCCTCCACTCATCAGCTTCTTTGTTCCTTTGGTCGAATTGGTCTCGCTCCTAATTCCATAAAAAGGAAACCATGTCAAACAAATTCAAAAGAGAAAACAAAAAAAAAATGGAAACAGCAACAAAGAAAAAAAAAAAAAACTAAAGGAATAAAAGAAGACCTTAGCTAGTTTCTCTGCAATTTGCTTCCTTTTTCTTTTCCTCCAAAGTTTGTTCCTCTTGTACTTGTGTAACTTATTACTCATTTTCGCCACCGCAGATTTCTCCTCCCACGGAGAATTCTCATCAGCTGCAATCCTAAACGGTTCAAGCTGAACTCTCAATTTGGACATAATAGCATTCGCAGCGTCCACTGCCAGCAATTCATGTGATTCTAAATCTATCCTATTCTCCATCATCCAACCCTTGAACTTATCAACTGAACAGTCCGATTCAGCACTACCTTCCCCATTTTTCACCATCGTTAACATCTCCAGCTCCTTCTCCCTGCTCGCTCACCAATTAAAACGACAGGAAAACAAAATTACGAATTTACGTTCAGCTTACTTCCACTTAAAATTGAAAACCAAACAAAACAAAAAAAAAAAAAGAAGAAGAGGTAGCTTACAGTGCTTTTGCGAGGTTGAAAGTGTCGTACAAGTTCTTGAGGGACTCGCGGATGTTGCTGGTATTCCAAAAGGCACTAGACGGCGGTGGTAAAGGCGGCACCAGCGGCGCCCACGGCGGAGGAGGCGTCATCATCGCCGGGGTGAAGGTGCCCGGAGGTGTTGGATTCATTATTAGCAGCGAAACTGGATTGTGGAAGATTTCAATTCGACGAAATCAACCGAAAACAAACAATGAATTTTGAGAAAATTTTATACAACGAAGATGATTTCGAGGGAAAATGCGAATTCCTACGAATTTGCGGGTGTCGGCCTTTTATTTTCTTTGGGTCTGATACGTTTGGTAGATCGAGAATCGATTGGGTTTGGTCTTGGGTTGTGAATGTTTTCTAAACGGGCTTAATCTTAGGAAAAAAAATATATATGGATCCAAAGCTAAATCCAACAATCTTAAAAATTCATCCAAGGAATATTTGAATCCCGTCTCATCAGACCATAAAGGCATAAACCATTTTCATTCAAACCATCAATATATCTACGATTTAACAAAGTGATTATAAGTTATAACTACAGATTGCGGATGATTAATACAATGTTACATACAAAGACACAAATGTTCCAAACTTAGTTTAGTGAAGGAGCTTAAGTTCAGGTCATTAGATTACATCAAATGAATAAGATATAATTTAGATCCTTCGCTTCGACGATTCACTCAACTGGGTTACACAATTTATCCATTTTAAATAAATCATTTTCTTTATATTGCAAGAAGATTAGAGCCTTTAATCGGACCACTACAATTTACCGGAAAATAATTTTGTTTTTTATTGTTTTTGGCACGAAATAAAGAACTAAAATAGTTTATCATTTGATAAGTTACGGACTATACTCAACTCAACTAATTGGGTCGGGAGATATTGTAAGTTAGATAAAATGACACAGTTTCAGAAAAACAATGCAAAATAATACTCCCTCCGGTCCGGTCCTTAATAAAACATTTTGATTTTATCATAAGTTTAACTTAATATGCATTTATAATTTTAAAAAAAAAAATCTTAAAGATATATTTTCATATCCGTTGTGTTCTCTTAATTGTTACGAAATATTTTTTAAGATTTTTTCGTCAACTAAAAAATTGTATTAGGTGAAACCTATGACAAATCAAAATGCATTATATGAAGAACTGGAGGGAGTAAGTGTTAAGTAATGTTATAACTTACAAGAATTATCGAAATGACAAAGTTTCATAAAAATAATATATGCGTTGGTACATAAAATGTGAGATTGGTGCAGTGGTAGTATTCTCGACTGCCACAATATTCAAGACACTGATTCAAAAACCAGCGAGAATCCTCTCTCTTAACTCCTTTTTTGGGATAAATTCATTGACCCGAACATGACTCCATTTCAGATCTGTTACAATTACCAATTATGATCCAAATACATAAATAGAATGTGTTGATAGTAGCACATGAAACAAGTAAACGTCTTTTCGTCGAATACCTTTTTCTCGATTCAGATCATCACAAAAGTTAAACCTTTGATTAGTTTTCTCCTTCCATCCTCAACTTCACAAAAATATGCTGCAAGTTCTATGAGTGATGTTATAGCAATAGGTGTATTCTCCTTGTATCATCAACTTCAATGAGGTGATGACACACACATATATGGTACAAGTTCGATGAGTAATCGATTCTATTATCCACGATACTCAAATGGAATATAAAGTTGGGAGGCATATATCTTTTCGCCCGAAGATGGAGCTCTCATTCATTGCAAAAATCAAAAGAATTTTCCATTCCCTCCTCAACTGTTATTCGAAAATTTAAGTCGCATTTTGTTTTCCTGTTGGTTGGTACTTAATGCACATCTTTAGAATCTTTTGGGGGAACAAAAAAATTGTAACTCAGAATTCTGTACAACATTTTATCCACTTGGAATGAAAAACCAATTTCAATTAATAAAGAAAAAAGATGTGAGATAAATGGTATCATCAAAATAAATTACTCAACGTGTTAAAAATATAGTCCATGTTATAATCTGTGAATTGTACTCCTTCCGTCCCATAATTATTGTCCAGTTTCGATTTTTATTTCTGGTTCAAATTGTACTAAAAGTGAAATCTCAAACTGCACAATAATTTTAGGATAAAGGGAGTACTATATGTTTTGGAATGCATAAAGTAATAATATACAACTTTGATCGCCATTGCTTCCTTTAAGATTATCCTGAAAATGGTTAGTTGATACCAAACAACATAACATGCCTTGTCTTGGCGGGACGATAGAGGAAAGTGATCGATCAATGTGTTGTTGAAATCATGAGTTCACAAACTAAAGATGCCATGAATCAAAAATATGGTCCTCATCAAGGTTGAAGAAAAACTTTTGTGCACTCAAATTTTCTACCATCACTTCCCTTTATGTATATGGGATGCCTGAAAAGGAAATTACAGCTTCCGAACAAATTCCAATCCAGTGAACCTAAACAAAAGAACATCCCATATGGTGTTTTGGGAACCAAAATCAAGAACTCTAGCTTTGGCCCTTTTTTCCCCCTCTTTTACATGTCTAAACAGTAACCTTTTTGCCCGACAATGCCCACATCCAACACATAGCAATTGTCTTTGGTCCCCAGAGATTTTTCCTAACTGGTTATGTAAGAAGGACAAACTCTTTGATGGATGGATGTGGTATGTGTATACTCAATCTTTATTTGGTCCAATATATATATATTTTTTTCATTTTCACATGAGAGATCAACTTTGGAGTCTGCATTAGACATAAAGGTCCATTCTCTTGAATGTTGACACTGCAAAGTCTGGCCTTGGCCTAACCGAAACAAAAAAATTTGCAAACCAAATTAAATCCGTTGAAAATGGTATATCATAAAAGAAATTCAATTATAAGTAACTCTTAAGGTCAAGTGGTAAAGAGATTGTCTTCACTTAAATATGTATTGAGTTGACGCTGTGAATGGACAAACAATTAAAGACCCTCATAGTCCATCCAGGTCGAAAGAAAACAGTTTGAATGTGGCATGTATAATGTGATTATCTCATGGCAACTGCACTAAAGAAGAAAGAAAATAAGGGAATTTTAGTTGTACCTTAGACTAAAAGTGTGAAAAGGCTTTCGACATTAATTGAATAGGCGTATATGAACAGAAGTTCATCCATGTCAAAGTTGAGTTCATTCTGATTGATTGAAGAGCCAAAAAAAAAAAAAAACATTGACGAATTTGTTTGGTACAATTACAATAAGTTGGACTAACGCTTAGTGCAGACAAAGTAAAATGTCTCCTAGGTTGGTCCCCTCTCAGAGGCTCAAACAGTTATACTTCCCTTTAGTTTCTTTTTAGCTAGGACAATCAAAGTAGAAACAGAACAAAATTGGCAAGTCATATAGTTCATATTTTTGTGGTGCTTCTAGTTCATGAATCATGATATGGGGATAGACACGATGATGATCACTCCAAAATGAAATTGAGTGTTCTCAAGAGCGAACAAAGCTTTGATGTCTTTAGTCACGGTTTTTCCGCAAGCAAAAATGTCCTACAATGGACCCCGGTTGTCTTCCTCTATTGCTTTAGTCCCTTTGCTAACTTATAAATTTAATATCGTTACACTAAGAATAACAACATTATATTATACTTTGACGATCTGATTCACGAGTTTTATATATATATATATATATATATATATATATATATATTTCACACGTAAGATGTTTAAAACGATCACGTATCACAATCAAATTAATTAATAGTTTTTTCTCTGTGATTTTTTTTGGGCAGAAATTAAGAGATTTGTTCGGATTATTTCAAATAGAGTCGGAGGCCGGAGCCCCCACATATCTAGTTTCCAATGGAATCCATCTCCCGAAAAACAGCATTTCTAAACAGAACTCATTCGACAGTACAGAACAGAAACGAATGAGGTCGTACCTTTTTTTTTTTGGAGAGAATCCTGCTTCCGTGCACAAACATAAGCTTTAATTAATCACACAAACAACCCTCAAACTTAATCTTTACTTATATTAAGAACATCATAATCAATGGTGGACCTAGGCATCTATGGAATGGAGGAGCTCCACAAGATAGAACAACATTTTCCCAGGTAACAACAAAAAGGGTAGACGGGAGACACCATGTGAGGGCCCTGAAAATGAAATCCAATTTCTATCAATAACAAAAAACAGAAAAATACTCTTCCATTTCAAAATTAGAATATATTGTTTTAGTTTAATATTACCTCTGTCTCAGAATTATTATCCAGTTTGAAATTTCATTCTTAATACAATTTGAACTAAATATGAAAATTCAAACTGGACAATAATTTCGGGACGGATGAAGTATTATATGACTTTTCAGAGATGGATAGACTAATAATTGTAGGGAAAGAAGCCAAAAACTTCAACATTCATATCATCTTAATTTTCTTTCATTCCCTGAGCTTTAGGACAATGTTTCCTGCTGAAAAGGAGCTTCTTTTTGTTCCGAAGGCTTAATACTTATTATTGCTATAAGTTACAAATGGAGAAAAATTATACATAAACCAATTGAATCTGTTGCTGAGTTTCACAAAAAAAAAAAAAATCTAATTCTCAGCACCAAATGATGAACACGGATCAAATAAATTTCCCCCTTCTATTCTCTTTTCCACTTTTCTCCCGTGCAAATATGCAGCATCAACAGCATCTCCATTGATCAATTTGCTGAAAACCAGAAACGTACAATAAGATATCCTAATTAACAACTCCAATTCGAAATTTATACACAAAGCCCGTGAAGCTAACTCACAGTTTTTACATACCAAATGATCTTTTGCAGTGGAGAATAGCTTCATGAATTGAGCTCTCAGGAATACTACTACTACTGTAATGAAGAGGACTACATGATGATGATATTGGAGAAGCCTGAGGGGAATGATTTATGAGTTTCTCACTAATTGAGCTTCTTGATTTCTTGAAAGAATTCCAACTTCTTCTTCTCTCTGGGGATGCCGGAACTGAATTTCCCCTGCTTTTTCCAACTTCCAAAACTTTCCTATCCAAATCATCTACTCTAACTCTTGTTCTTGAGCATCCCAACACCCGATAAATCGGCCTGATCGACAGACCTCCACAACATCCCTGTAACACTTTCTTCCCTGCAGACAATTTTTTCCGACATTTCGCATCACCAGAGCTAAAACTCTGGCCCTGGTTTTTCAGAAAACCTGAACCTGAAGACACTGATACTGATGATGATGAATGGATAGGTGTAACTGGAACCGAAACCGGGTGTTTTTCCTGGTTGATGAAAACAGGTCTGATGCATCCATCACAGAAGAGTTCATCAGCGTGAACAAGATTAATGGAAAACCTGCTGGATTCTCCTCCCGCTCCAGGTTGATGATGATCATGATTAACTCTGAAATCGAATTCCTGATGACCATCTTTAAAGATTTGGGTATTGAAAATGGGAATAGAATCATCATTATGATCATAATTTTCTAGGGAAGGCCTTCTTAGAGATTCAAGAAGGCCATCAAAAGAAGAAGAAGAGGATTTGCTGTCATTTATCAACCAGCTGTAAGAAAAACTGTCTGTCGCAAGATCAATTTGAGATTGAGAGTTTTCCATGGTTAGTTTCATGGCCCTTTTCTTCTTTCTCTCCCGAGGATTGGATCATTAAAGAATTTGGAATTGGTTTTATAGTGAATGAAGATGAATATGGACAAAAGTTTTTTTGAACTCAGACATACTGTTACTTCAAAAATTGACCATTTCATATGACGATGGCCACAGTTTTACCCAAGCAAACAACAAAAATGAACATTTATTCTTCCCTGTCTTTTACCTTTAGAATCCCTCCAAACTAAATGAAGAAAGCAGGCAAAACATTAATAAGAGAAAAAAAAAAAATGGAAGGGCTGAAAGCTACACCTTTGTAAGTTTTGAAGAAGAACAAAATGATTATCACCAATGAAATGATGGACCATAATTCTTTTTGTTAGGAGAAAATCTATTGGCAATCAAGTTTCACTGTGTGATAGTTTTCCCTCTTTCCTTACTTACCCCTTGGATGGCTCCAATCCATAACTTAGTGAAAAATAATAGCTAGGTTGCACATCATCATCAATGCAGAATAAGTCAAATTTCATAGGATAACATATGAATTTGTATTACTACACTGTATCAAAGTGACTTTTGTTCGTTACTTATCCCGTGCATAAATCGACCTCGTAACCAGTTAATACTACGAAAGATCAAGAAAAATTTTACCATTAGACTGCACTTTATCGTCAATGCAGAATTAGTCAAATTTCATAGTTTAACAAATGGATATAGTACATTAATTACCAACTGCAAGAAACTGACTTCTGATTATCTTGAAGAATCAATGTTAGAGCATGGGTTATGCCTTCTTCCCATTGATATTTTATACAATTTTAATCAATTTAGGTTTTTCCTTTTTTTTATTCCATTGGTTTGATTAGTATTTCATGTAAGGCCAGTTTCAGCACAGTACGTGGAGCGTGAAAAGTTGTACAAAGTCAACAAGAAATGCATGTCCGTCGAAGGAATTACTTTAAATCATTAGAGCAAATTGAAAAAAGAAAAAAAAAACAACTCATTAAGAAAATTAATTAAAGTTTTAGAAAGTGATATCAATTAAGGGATATTTTGTTTGTTCCTAAGAATAATCTTCCTAGATTTCTATGCTCCTCTCCTTTGCTTATTTAATCATCTTTTCACTTGAACGATAGTTATTGGAGCCTTCTCAACCTTGAGAAAGGTCAATCTTTTTTCTTTCTATTCTTTTATTGTTGAAAAAGAAGTCGGACATTTTTAAATGTAAACTTCTTTTATTATTAACACAGTCTCAAAGTCCAAAGAGGTAAATCTTAAAATAAACTATGTTTAAATAATCCGTATTGTATGTACATGTTGAAGTCATAAAAGGATCATACTACTTCGGTCCCAAAAAAATAGTCTACATTGAGTAAAAATTTGAAAATTCAATGTGGACTATTTTTTTTTAGACGTAGGGAGTATTTCTTATATCACAACTTCCACGGCTGCGAGGGGAACTTACAAAATAAAGACTTATTAGTATGTTTATTACAAATTTACAATCACTCAAGAAAAGTGAACTTGTTGAAATCAATACTTTAGAAATATGTAGTGTAATTAATAGTAAATGATTTCCCCTACTAACAGAAAGATATGACTCTTGATGAAGTTCGTCGTATGGACAATTCCCATTCCCCCAAAGACTAATGAAGGATTTATGGAAAACCAAAGCTAGGAAATGTTAATCATTTTGATGAACACTAGTAAATCAATCTGATGAATATTTGACATTACGTTTAGAGTATCATGTTATTGCACTGTTATTGTGTAACAAAAAAGAGGTTGGCCGATTTTCTTTGTTGCCACAACAATGAGACTGTGAGTATGCCGAGGTAAGAAGTTTTTTTTTTTAATGAGATATTTGTCCTATTATTATCACATTTATCATATTTTACAACTTTCATTGATTAAGTAATTGCTAAAGACATAACATTATCTTTCTTTTTTTTTTCTGTTGAAGGAAAAAAATAGTAACATATTATAATTGTAATTAGTTTAGTGCATTGCGAATTTTGCTGATAAGATGATTTGAAATTTGAATCGCCATTGCTGAGCTCGCAAATCTCTCACCAAACATAATCATACAAATTATGAAATTATCACATCCGAAATGAACTCACTGAATCCAAACTATTCAATTTTCAAAAAGATAAATAAATAATAAATAAAATAATGAGTGTTGGAGCATTTTCAAAATACAGGTCAAATCTGTACCCAAAAAAAAAAAAAAAATACAGGTCAAATTAACCAATCATTGGGCCTTCAGATCAAATAGCCCACTCAACACAACATGGGTCGAACCATTTTTTCCAAAGGAATCCATCGATGAAATTAGGAAAGTGTAACATTGACTCAAACTTGGTAAACCTCATAAAATTACGGTATAACTTATCCGTCGTGATTTGTGAATATTACCAATTCTAAACAAACTACAAGTAAAAACTATACGATCATTATAAATACCATGTGTATTATTAGGAAATTACTACTAGTCCGAATATCCTTCTAACAGTAGAATTATTTCCAAAATATAATAAAGTAACTTGTAAAACTCTTGTGAAGATTTTAAGGCCAGTCATTATTTAGGTCATTATTGATATCGGTAATATCCAGCCAGATGTTGTCCTGCTAGTGGTTTGGTGATCGGGAAAAAAAAAAAAGATTTGTGCGCTAATATAACAAGCGCAAGCAATTTCTGCCATCTATACTAGATATTACTCACACGATATACGGGTTAAGAATAAATATTTTTATGAAAACATTTATAGAAATTTACTAATAGCTCGAAAGGAAATGAAATTAATAAAAAAAATGCATTAAATTCTGAAAGCAACCAAAAGTCCTTAGAACTCAAACACGTGAAGAACAAGAAAAAATTAATTGTTATACACATCACTGTATCAAATGAGGTTGGGCCGACATAAAAAGAGATTATTCTATAGTTTATTTTTTGCAAATCGTCTATAACCAACAAACTTAAGACATCCTTGTTATTTGCTGGTGCAAAATTATTAAAGATTTCAATTTCTTCTATGCTAGTAAATTTTTGTAAATTCAAAATAGAAATTTGAAAATTATTTTGTAGTGATGATTGGATTTTTTTTCCCTCATGCTTTGGTTGGTAGGATGGTGACACACACACACACACACACACACACACACACACACACATATATAGTTGGAAGAGAATTGAGATGGCGTAAAGATTAAAGAGAACTTTTTAAATTTCATTTATGTCAATCAAGATTTAAACCAAATATGTCATTGATCAATATTTACTTCATTTGGTCCTTTGATTTTGTTGCATAATTAATGATTTCAAATTTTAAAATGGACTACTTGATATCTGAAATGTGAAAATGTACATTGTTCATTAATTATCGATTATGATAACTAAATATAAGATTACAATATTATTTTGAACCATAACAAACAATAGTTTCAAAATAAATTATATTTTTAAATAAATGCTTGCACATAATTAGGAATTATTCCGAACATTCTTATCATCTTTGTAATTGATTTGTATAAATGATAGAGTTCAAATTTATCTAAAAAATTGAAGTATATCAATAAATGACATTCATTGGTCTTTATTTAAAACCTATGAATTCGGACGCATTTTCAGTTGAATCAATTAGCCAATCCGAATTAACTCTTTGTATATGTGTGTGTGGAATCATAAATTAAAAAAAAATTGTTTTTAAGAATATAAACTGTTTGAACAAATGAAACAACATATCTTTAATTTACACCAAATTCGAACTTTAAATTTTGCATCCTCTAATTTACGGAATTTGATAGATAGCAAATTCTGTCAAAAAGAATTTTGTTGTTGATCTTTCAAAAAAAAAAAAAAAAGAATATTGCTGTTGAAGACCAACTATTAAAGGAGAACAAAAAATAATAAAGTTCGGTCTTGCTAAATCCAAATTTTCGTGGACTCGAAATTCTCCTTATATGGCTCCACCTGCATAAATAATAAAATAATTATTCAAATGAAAACCCTCAATCCAAAATTAGGAAAAAATAATATGAAAACACAAATTAAAAATTAACAATTAAAAAAAACTTAGAGGTAAAATGACAACCACCCATCTCGATGTCATAGCACAATAAAAAAATATAATATTTGACTCCTTAAGCAATTATACTTTTTCTAGTGCAAAAATTTTAGACAAATTAAAATCATTCAAAACATCTCGAATACATAAACTCATAAATCAGAAAATACAACCCACTATAACAATTGCGCTCCTTATATAATCAAGTGGTAAACCTCATCTTTTGCCTACAAAGTGCAAACTCCATTAATTTTAATTAAAAGGTTTTAAAAGAATTGTCTTCAAAAACTTAAATATGCCATCTCACATACCCTTGCCTTGATGTTAGTGCTTGCCAAGTTAGAAATTTTCAAACAGTCCCATCAACTAATCAATACGCTATCAGAGAAACTCATCAAAATCGTGAGTAAATAAAACTTAATACTTATATATATTTTTTTTAGATGCAAACGCTTCTAAAACAATTAGAATGAATTATAGTACCTTGTCATTTTACACCAGTGCAAAAGAATGCTACAACATAGATAATAATATTAATTTAGGGTGAATAATGTGTATGGAAAATTTTTTTTATTTAAAAAATAATAATATTAATTTAGGATATGATTAATAAGGAAATGAGCATTTGAATTACCGAAATTCAAGTAGATAAGTTTTTGTCGTAAAATGCTTATTTATTTATTGATCGAATAAAAATTGATATCTTTTATTTTTTATTTTTTACAATTGAATACTTTTAATTTTGGAGTTAATTATGAGATATGATTGTTACCTGATTCCATGCACAATTTTAATTTTTGAATAATTATTGATTTTGTCATTAATGTCGGAATTGTGATTAAGTTAACCATAATTTTGGGAATTCTTTTGGGAGGAAAATAATTCCGGTGCAATAATATTCATTATTCCTCTCCATTTAATTTGATTAATTTCCATTTCTCATTTTCAATTAACTCGATGTAACCCGTCAGATGGACGGGACAAAAAAAAATTGACAAGAAAACAAATTGTCAATATTGAAAATAAAAGCAAATTGTACGACTATAAATCCTTCCGTATTCTTTGTATGCTATATTGATTGTTTTGTTATTCATCTCTCCATTTTCACCGCATATTAAAACTTAAGTCTTTTATGTAAATTTGGATAGAGCAACATATAATTGATGAGGGTTGAAAATGAGACGTGGTAGATACAATCTAACTTAAAAATGG